GGCACTGTCACCAGATCCTGGCAGATGCCCTGTGGTCCGTATAGTGACTGCTATGAGGAGATGCTCTGCCCAGGGCAGCTCACCATGATGGGGCGGGGCTGTGCAAACACTGTGAATGAATCTGCACAGCACTCAGAAGGGGCCTGGCACTTAGGTGGCCCTCTCTGGTGTCTCTTAAAGTAGTTCTGAGTTACAGCTTCTTTTCTGTTAGGCTCGTTTGCTTAGACCTCTGCAGGCATGTTGATCCCTTTTGAGGGACAATGGCCCTCAGCCTCCCTTTGCATAAGCGACCCTGTGCTGAGCCGTGAGAGGCTCTTCGGAAAGCAGACAGATGTCCTCCCTGGCAAGGGCCTCATGGAGCCAGGCCCCTTACTTTCCTGGCTCTCCTCCTTGGCCAAGCACCATTGGGCCTGGGGCAGGCCTGGCGGTCAGGTATCCTGTCTCTTGCATTAGCCTGTGCTCCGGACCCTGCCCCCCTAACCCCGCCGCTATGATGTTCTTTCAGAGCTCAGCAAAGCCTTGTTCCCACCTCACCCAGGTGTCCATGGCCACTGCTGCCCAGCATTAGACCTCCCCATGGGAGCTGGTCTCTCAGGTAGCACTGGGCGCACCCCAAGGCTGTGCTGGCCCAGTGCTGCTGAGAGCAGAATCCCCCAGGATGGGGAGCTGGCTTCTGTTCCCTTTCCCAAGAACCTGGGCTCCATCCTGAAGACTGACAACATTAGGACACCCCCTGGTGAGCCTTGTATCAGAGAGCCCAGATCCCTGGGGCTCTTCCCAGGAAACGCTTCCTGCGGATTCTTACCCAACAAATAATTTGCCTACTCCTGCCAGGAACCAGGCTGGTGCTGGATGCTTATTTGGGGGATGTTTGTGCTGTATCCTGTTGGGGATCATGTGGCCAGGAACAGAGGCCAGCCCGGCTCACCCATAGTCCTTGGCGCCTCCCATTCTGGGCCTATGGTTTAACTGCCAGCTCCCATGGAGGTGTCTGCTTGGTGGAAAGGCTTCTCTGCCACCAGGCTCCCTTCTCCGTGAGCGAGGCACATTGGAAGTGCCCTGGAGCCTCCTCTGGCCCATGGCTAACGGGATTGGTTTGCAGATCCCAACTCCCTCGGCCCTCGGGTGAGCAAGCTCTGAAATGTGCGTGCTTTGCACAGCCCTTGGGGTCCCCAAGGCCATCGGGCACAGTTGCCCCTCATGGAAACCTGCTTGGTCATACCCTCCACTCCAGGCCTTTCCTGGCCTGTCTTGCTCACCTCTCTGCTCCCTGTGCTTCTTAGGAGCACCTCCCAGATAATCGACTTGGGGTCCCTGCCTACCTTTGAGGAATCCTGATGACGCAGTGTATGTGGGACAGGGCCCCTCCACCTTGGCTCTGGTGAGGTGAGGCTGAAGTACCCTTCACAGGACGGGCTTGTCCTGTTCATGGAGGATGCTGGCCACATCCCTGGGCTCAGACCCTGGATGCCAAGTAGCAAAGCTCTCATGTTCCTCCAAGTTGTGACAACAAGAAATGTCTCCAGACATTGCCATGTGTCCTCTCGGTGGGCAGACGGGTTGCAAAATTGCCCCTGCTTGAGAACCACTGGTTTCCAGAAAAGAAACCATCACTGGAT